CACCCATCACAGGACTGCTACATTACGCTGCTGTACAATGGGGACATCCTAGATCGATATTGTCTCTCCCTGGGCATATCCAAAGCCTTAGGAGCCGGCATCGTCATCTTTGGTTCCATACTCAAGATCCCACAGATCTTCAAGATCGTGAGGAACAGGTCGGCTGCTGGTGTCAGCTTGGGAATGTATGCGCTCGAGGTGTTGGCCTACGACATCAGCCTGGCTTATGCGGTCAGGAGGAGGATACCGTTTAGCACTTATGGAGAGAATGCTAGCTTGACAGTTCAGAGTGAGTCCAGAGAGGCATTGGGCAGCGCAGAGCTCTGCTTCTAATATCTGATTTGCAGACGAGGGCTGACCGGCTCTTCATTCGATTTTGCTGCAAATTCGCCCGGCAGATATGCTCATCACGCTCCTTATCATGCACTACAAGCCCGCTTCAACGCTATCCACACGCTCAACATCGCACGCCCGCTCACTGCTCCTGGCAGCTTTATCCATGCTCCTCTTGTCCTACGCCCTCTTTACCCCCGCCATCATCTCCGACGCCAACTTGGCCATCCTGCAACTCTTCTCGATCCCCATCAGTCTGTTGAGCAAGGTGCCGCAGATCCGCGAGTTGCACTTCAGGAAGAGGACTGGGCAGCTTAGCGCGCTCGTCGTCTTTGCTCAGTTGGCGGGAACCATTGCTAGAGTGTGAGTACTTGTGGGACCGCTTCGTCCATCACGCATGTGCTCACCCGATCAGCCCTCTGCCGCCTTTGTGTGAGCACAGCTTCACGACTCTAACAGAGACATCTGACAAGTTGCTGCTTTGGGGCTTTTCCCTCGCATCCCTCTTCAACGCCTTCATAGCCGCCCAGTACATCTACTACTGGAACGGAAACAGCAGCACAATATACACGCCTCATATGTCAGCCAGGGAGAGGGAACTTAGAAGGATTGCCAATGCTAGAAATGCAGTGGGATTGCATCCGCTGTATAAGAAGGTGGATGATGAGGATCATAGGGCCAATTCGCTTTCCAATCCGGGTGCGGCAGGTGGTTGGGCGCAAGAAAGCGGGAGCACAAATGGGTCAGAGGGAGCATGGACACACGAAGGGAAA